GACTGACTGGCCTATAGTTCCCTGATTATTATATGACCAGATGTCAGGGTGGTTGAAATCCCCCATGAGGACCAGGGCTTGTGACCACGAAGCCGCTTCTATCTGCCTGTGGAAGACCTCATCTGCTTGGTTGTGCTGGTCGGGTGGCCTGTAGCAGACCCCTACGGTAACATCACCTTCCCCTGTCTTGCCTTTAATTTTAATGCACTCTCAAGCAGCTCATCATCCTTCAGCAGGTGGAGCTAATCCTAAAGATTAGAGCCAAAACACTGTAATAGGTGAGTTTACTGTGTTATACACTTTTCTAAATGGGGTCAAGATCTTCCTTAATAATGCCAGTTTACAGAAAACAGTCATATAGAGGTTAACTGAACAGTAAAACCTCCTGATGAAGCTTCTGTCACATGTTTGGGTTGGTTATTTTCTTTTTTTGCTGTGAGTTTTTGATGTTTGTCACTTTTTTACCTTGCTGCCTTAACCTGGAAATCAGCATCCTGAGCACTACAAAACTTTTTTTTTTTTTTTAATAGGTGGAGCTTGGAAACATCTGCTAGCTTTTTTGAAACTGCCTGATCTGTCACACTTCCTTTGTAATTCCAGTCAAATCCTAACCAGGGCATAGCATACAAAACAACTTCTGAAACTCACAGAGACAACTAACTAATGCAGATGCATTTCAGATTTCATAAAATACTGGGCATATCACCCCATCTGTCCTCAGGATAATTATCATTCCTTCTTCCTTCTGCTTAGGGTGTTAGTGAAAGTGAAAGTGTTAGTGAACATCTCCCTTCTCCAAGGCATCAATGGAGTGAAAAACAGATATAGAATGAGGAACAAGTCTTAATCTCAGACTTTCACTGCCATCCATGGTGGCTAGGTCTCCAAGAGTAGGTAAGTTTCCCATGCAGAGTTCTTAATGGTATGATCTTGCCCAAAGATATGCCAGTAACTACATTAATCAAAATGTAACTAATTACACACTGCAAGGCATGGAGATGTTCAGGAAGTGGATTTCATTAACCATTTTTTCAAGAAAGCAACACGGTGGCAAGTAGTTGTTTTTTTCCAGTGGAAGAGTGTAAGCAAATCTATGATGCAATTAAGATTATTGAGTTTTGGCAAGGAAACAGTCCAAAGTCATGTGCAGAGAACTCACACACACATGCTGTGGAGGTTACATGTGCAACTACTTGTCTAGGACATTGCATTAAACTTTGCCAGAATTATAAAGCACTTAACCCTACTTTTAAAGCTATTTATTTCAAAGGATATTAAAAGTGAAATGACAGAAAGTATTAGAAATGTCTCCAAATTAATTAAACAATAAGAAATTATTGATTACTTACCTGACAGCTGAAGTTATCTTAGCTGTATTATCAGAAAGCATACTTATTGCTCCTTCATCCTCCCCCTCTATACCCTGGGTTTTGGAGAAGGGTTTGGAAAGAGGAATAAAAATAGTTGTAATAAATTCAAAGACAACACATGCAAATATAGTCAGTGCATTTAGAATCTATTTTCTCATAATGGCATTAATGTCTGGCATGTGTTTTACTTATCATTGAAGTTATATAAATGTAACACCAATGAATGCAAGAAATTGAACCTTCTCATGAAATACTTTACTTCTAGTCCTACTTTTAAGACTGTACTATGCCTAAAATTCAGCACATGATAGTAATTTTTGTATATGGGGTGACAGAGAGGGCTAAGCATTGATACAGCTCCTACTACACTTCACATAAAGCACATGTAGGTGATAAAACTTACCATGATACTTTTAAGTCTTTTGACTTCGTCTTCTTGGGCTCTGTACGATTCCAGTTCTTGCTGAACAGACTCAGCCACCTCTGGAAAAGGACTAATGGAATATTCTGCATTATGCTCAGTTAAACCAGGAAATCATAACACCAGAACCAGGCAAGCTGCATGATCAAGATGATCATGAAAACAATTTCAGAAATACCAACACACAAATCATGCAGCAGTATCAAATCAGTGAAAATAATGACATCTTACTGTAGGTTTACTTAAACTTTCTAAGATATATTCACTGCTTTCAATATTTTTATTTTCGTAAGAACAATTTTGTGTTCTGTAACAAAGAGCTAATATACAATTAATACGGACAATGAATACTGGCAATGATCATTCCTTAAAAAAAAATAATCAAAATTAAAAAATATTTTCAAAGACACTTAAGAACTACCTTAATATGAAGAATACTTAAAATTTATATTGATTAAATTATTATAAACTCTGTACCTATACAGCTTACCTGCCCTTATGCTTTTGCCAAAATTTATCAGATGCAGTTAAATCATAGGACTTCTTATTTTTTTTCTTAGGTCTAGCACCTGCTGGAGAAGTTTCTGTTCCTGTTGATTCTTCCAAGTTAACTCTATTCAAATGGAAATCCTAAAAAAGAGGACTCTTACATAGATATTTGATAGTTTTAAATTACTTAATCAGCCTTTTATACTCCAACAGTTATCTTCCAGAGTATTTTCTGAAAACGTATTAACACAGCTATTTATCACAATTTTGTAAGAGGGCAGGAAACAGTTTTTCTAACTAACTAGATAGTAACAGCATTGTAAGAACTCTGAAATTACTCACACCTACTGAAGAAACACCAAACAAAGCAACAAATGTTAAGCAAAGACATCGGATTGTGTCATATGCGTGAAATTTTCTGACACTGAACTCTGAACAGTTTTCTGTACAGAAAATAAATTATTTAGCTGAGCTCTAAAAACAGACCAAAACTTCAAAAGTTTTTGTGTTGCAGGCAAAAAATGTTTCTAAGGCTGAATTTCACTTATGCAACCACAGCAAATGTATCAAAGCTGCAAAGAAGCTCCTGGCATCAGCAACAGGATTATCCACCATAAGATTATTTAGCTACACCTTCACAGCTCTTTCCTTATTTTTTTAAACACTAGTGAAATAGTGAATTCATGATAAAGCAACAGTATGCAACAAAGCTGCTGTTAATCCATATAGCTTCTCTTCCAGAGATACATGAACCTAGAAACTACATGTTTTTGCTAGATGACACAGTTACGCTCACATAATACATCAACATACTGCGTCCTCTAAGTTGTCTGGTGCTTTTCTCCATTACTTTTGCCAAGGACAGCTCTGTATTTTCTTCAGGATAGGTATTCCCCTCTGATTTTCAATGAAGATCAATACCCCACTTGCTGACTTCATACTTTCTAGTTCTTTTCAAGAACATTTAAGATTTCAGAGGTGCTCTTTGCTTGGCAAATAATGATTAAGAGAGTGAAATCTTTAGTCAAATCGAAACTATACAGAGACTACCATGAAACCTTTAGAACAAGTATTTTTTCCAGAAATAAAACTCCATATTGTGTTCACTACAATATACAGAACTAGATTACTGTAAGTGAAATGGTCAAATAAAAATTTTAAATGGTTCTAGTTATCCCTTAGCAGAGTTCACACTTAGAAAGAAATACCATAACCTGTCCATGTCAGAATAGAACCAAACCCAGGCAGCTACTGAAAGGAAGTTCATGCACTCAGTGACCCTAAACTTCAGCTTACAAGATGTATTTAATATTTCAGCCAAAAAAGCATTTTTGACATATATATGTTCAATAAAAAAATGGATTGAAAATTCAGGTATCTTTTTTAATGGAGATCTACATTTTGGCTCAATTTAACTCACCAGAAACCTCGGTTTCCAGTTAGTTTTGGCATTTACAAGGAGTTTTACAAAAATTATTCTTATTTATTATTCCTTTCACCTCCACACTTTGTCTTTGTAATGCTTTCTGTCCATGCCTTCCATTTTTCTGCATCTACTCCTGAAAACTTTTGTATTCAGAAATGGGAATCTTCATACAAGCCTGTTTATGTGTAGAAACACTAGCATTATAATCTAAATGGATGCAGCATACAACTTTGTGGCTGGGTTAGCATTTAGTTGAATACCCCACAGAATTCCTGGATTATTCTAACAGAGATTAAATGAAAAACAATTTATTTGAAAGGACAGTTTACATAATCATCACCTTGGTAATGCTTTCATGGTTACAATTTCTGGGCTTTTAAAAGCCTACTGAGGTTATTTCATGAAATATAATGCTCACTACATGAAGAACCTAGTGTGCTTGCCTTTAAAGTGAATAACTTGACTGGTTTTGAAATTAAACTTTTGCCCTTGATGTGGAATCACAGGCCACTTGGTTACAACTTCCCTAGACAAATTCATAATCCTATCAACTCAAGTCAAAAACTAGATGCATCATTTAACACATTGTCCAGAGAAAATACTGAAGACTGATGCAGTACCAATGAACTCTAATATCTCTCCATATTTGTAGCACTAGCTGTCCTCAGCTTCCACTACATCTTTCATCCTCCTACATGCTGATGCACCAAAGTCCCACTCCAACACATGCCTGTGGCCACCTGACAGTACTTTCTTCACCTGGCAGCTGAGCAGGAGCCAAGCACGTGCAGCTTTGTGTGGGTTTACTATCTAGTAAGTATCTCCTGCTTGAATAGTTGCCAGGTAACACGGAAATAAGTGTAGAGCTTGTGCAATAGTATTTATACCTGTAAAAACTCTAATTTGGGTTTCCACCCCTGCTCGTCCACTGATTTTCAAAAGAAACCTGTAGAAATTCAGTACTTCTATTTGAAAGTCTCTAACCAGCTCAACAGTTCCTGAAGAAAACACAGCACAACTGTGATTTTTTCATATATGCCTTTCCTAAAGAAACTAGGCTAAAAACTGTTTAAAAAACTGTTTGTAAAAAGCACTCATAAATTTAAGAGGAAGGGACTTTTCCTAAGGAATGAATTAAATACAACAGAATTTTAAAGTGTCCTAAACCTTCCCATTAATGATAAAATATCTTCACTGCAGCAATGCAAGACTGTGGACCACACGTATGTATGACTGTATGGTTCAAAACAACTTTGTATACAAATAGTTATGTGCATGTACATATCTTACATAATCCTCTCTCAATGTCAATAAGCCCGAAATATTTCTCAAAGCTATTGAAATTACATGCATGACTAACTCTATAGTATAAAAATGCCTCCAGATAGTAATTATTCTTACTCATATTATCTTTTATTATTTATTCTGTGCCTATACACAAAATGTATAAGTCTTAGGTAAATAACACTGTTCACTGGAGGGTGTTACACCACTTGGTATCACTGTACTGAACACCTACACCACCTTGTGGACAAAATCAAAAATAAGTATTTTTAGAAACTCTAATATTAAAATTGGTTGAAAAACCCACTAAACAAATTATTTTTCAAAACCAAATCACACTTAATACAGCTTGGAGTTTACATAACATAAAAGATCATTAACTACTGAAAGAAGAAAAAGCTAGTATTGCTAAATTACCTATCTTTTGATAATATCAAGATTTCAACTTTTCATTAATTTTAGAAGTTATTGCTAAATAAACCTAGAGAAAAATCTTACAAGTTGTTCTTTGCCAAACAACTTCCAAAAAAACCAGGGAAAGCTCATTTTGGTTTAAGAGAGAGACTGGCATTAAGTTTAATAACAAACTGAGTAAAAAAAAAAAAGTTTTGGTAACAAAATCAGATTTACTCTTACCAGAACATCATGCACTAAAGCTTGGTATGTCCAAGTATGATGTAGAGGAGTTGCTAAATCTATGTTTCTGTCAACAAGGACTAATAGGGGCCTTTGGAAGCTGAAAAGATGACACTGTATTAGTACTTTGTTAAACATGTTTAGAACACCACAGTAATATTCTGAATGGTATCAGCCACCTTGTACATTGGTTTTCAAGTAAAAAGCCAAACTGCTTATTGCTGAGATTCCCCAGCCTTTCCCAAAGCATCTGAGGCTGATCACTGCCAGAAATTCCATGAACCACTGTCCCAGTAATAATAAAAAGACTATTTCATTTTGTACTAAGTGAAATTACCAGTGCATAAATAACGAACAGAAGTCAAAATACTAAACAGGAACTATCCTTTTAGGTATAAATTAATATCTCTTTGTGTGGATACATATTTGAGTTCTCAGCAACTGTTTGAGTGGGTAATATTCAACCATATTTCCCACTATGAATGTCAATTATAAAATACCTCTCTCAAGGGTTTTTAATGTCGTAAATGTGATGGCTAAATTACAGTGTATTTGAATAGAGTAAAAGTATGTTAAGTCCATGCTCTGGATTTCCTTGCAGTAAGTGTTTTCACATATATATAATCTCAAGAGTCTTAGTCACTCAGTTACGGACGCCGAACTAAAGGTCCGAAGCCATTTAACTGCTTAAAGGTTCCCACGTTTCCCTTTCCTTGTGCTTTGGCTTCTGAGGGTAATGAAGGAAAAACAGTGGTTACAATTCAGTTCCCATGAAAATGAGGGAAGTGGTATTTCACAGCTATTCTCTCTCCTGATACCTTTCAACCACATTCCATTTTGCCATGCTTGATGGCTTTTGTGTCTTTTATCCAAGTTCTGCTCTTAGTTTGAGATAGAAATACAATTACTGTTTTATTTTCAGTTAGATCACCACTGTCTCCTTCAATTCCAGTCTTCCCAATACAACTAATCTTTTCATGTACAGTGTAAACTCAACTCCTATAATATTATCCTAAGGCAGCCTGTGGTATATCTCCCTAAATCAACTATCTGGGGGCAAAGAGTATACGTGGAAGGCAAACATCCACAACATCTTTTCTCACCCCTCTTTCCGCTCGAAAGATTAAAATGGTCATGACTTAACACTCCTTGACTATCTGATCATCCTTAAGGTACCTCATGCTTAAGGTAGTGCTTAAGCAGTCTTCCTCTCGTAGATACAAGGATCAGATGCACTTGCTTTTGACATAACTACAACAGGTAACAGTGCTCACAAGTGAGAAATGGGGCTTTTTTTTTTTTAATGGACTGAAGGTTGCTAAAAGATATGTTCAGACATCCAACTGCATATTGTGGTCCTGTAAACTGAGCTTATTGCAGGAGCTTGGTTCTTGCTGGGTTTAGAGGTTGAACAAAATCACCTCACTTGTGAAATCATTTGTGTCTCACTGTCCTAGGACTACACATTTACTAGCTATAGAATTTTTCAAACTCGTTACACTAAGAAATTGGAAAATGCCCTTAGGAATATATAAATTCTTTTAACATAGAATTTTAACCAAATTCTTGTTAATACACTTTCCAGTACAGTGGTGACTTATCCTGATGAGGTATTTCAAACAACTGAAATATGAAAACAAAACCACATAGTTATTACTAACACTATACCTGAACTGGCCAGCTCCAAGTGTGTCACCTGTAAAAAGACTGTTTCTGGCATCTCTTAGATTCTCTCTGAGCTTCTTATCTAATTTCTGAGGCGGGAGAAAAGAAAAAACAGCTTTTAACAAATCAGTAGTTCCATGACATCTTTATATGAACAACATTTAAGGATTTACTGTGCTGCTTTTGTAGTTTATAAATGTCTTAGCTGCAGGAAGTCTAAGTCCACTGCACATAGGGAAGAAAGGAATCTCTTCCTCCTATTTTCTCCCTACAGCATTTATATTTATATCCAAGACTACACAGAAGAACTTTCCATTAAGCCCACTTGATGATCAAGTTCAATGTCAGTTTAGTGTGGTATAGTAAAAATGTCTTTACCCACATGGTTTCCCAGTAAGATAGATAAATATTTCTTACTAATGCACAGAGAAAACCCCAGGTCAGACAGACACTTTCCAAACTCTGTAGATATAGCTTAATAGTTGTAATTATAATGGCTGTCAGAAAACCCTGACCCACTCTACATTAGGAATGATAATTAATGTTTAAGTTTCTGTTGTGATTTGTGGCTTTGGGGGGGGGCAGGTGATCTTCTAGGACCTGGGAGGGTCCCGGGGGAAAACAGTGTATTCCCTCCCCTTCCTCTCCACACTCTTTAAAAGAGGCAGGAAGTCCAGTTCTGGAGCCCCCAGTACAAGAAGGATGTGGACCTGCTGAAGCGTGTCCAGAGAAGGGCCACCAGAATGATCCAAGGGCTGGAGCACCTCTCCTATGAGGACAGACTGAGAGAGTTGGGGCTGTTCAGTCGTGAGAAGAGAAGGCTCCGAGGTGACCTTATTGTGGCCTTCCAGTATCTTAGGGGGGCCTACAAGAAAGCTGGAGAGGGACATTTTAGGATATCGAGTAACGACCGGACTAGGGGGAATGGGGCAAAGATGGAAGTGGGCAGATTCAGGCTGGATGTGAGGAAGAAGTTCTTCACCATGAGAGTGGTGAGACCCTGGAATGGGTTGCCCGGGGAGGTGGTTGAGGCCCCATCCCTGAGGGTCTTTAAGGCCAGGCTGGATGAGGCTCTAGGCAGCCTGATCTAGTGGGAGGGGGCCCTGCTCATGGCAGAGGGGTTGGAACTGGGTGATCCTTGTGATCCCTGCCAACCCTGACAGATTCTGATTCTGTTTTAGCAGAGGACTTGGTAGTGTTGACTCAATGGTTGGTCTTGATGAGCTTGGAGGTCCCTTCCAACCTAAAGGATTCTATGATTCTAAGTGGGTGCTTCGCCCCCCTGCCGCATGGCTCTGGGTCCTGGCGTGCTTCATTCCACACAGTCCGGAACCATATGAGATTTGGGATTTGTATATCTTGTTTACTTTGTATTCTTCCTATCTTTGTACATATATTTACCTCCCTTTTTGCCTTCTGTTCCCTGTTAAACAATATACTTTATTTTTATTTCAGTTCCAATGGGTTCAAAGCCTCTCCCTCTCTCTCTCTCTCACTGGGGCGTGGGGTGAGGGGAGCACACAGTTCTGCTCTGTATGGGTCCTGCCCTGAACCCCTTTTTACATGGAACCAGAACAGTTTCTTATCATCTGAGTCCACAAAATTACAGTTTCTACAGCTGAATTCCATGGAACTGAAATCAGAAAGGAAAACTGATGTATCTCCTTTCCAGTTTTATTTCCTTCATAAGGAAAAGGATACTAGACCTCTGCCTGGTATTGGAAAAAGATGTTACGAAAATTTTAAACCAATGATACTTATTTAGAAAATAGTTTCTTACCACTGCCACCATTTCAGCTGCAGTTCCTCTTGAGCATCTGATTATAGGAATAGCTCCTAATAAAAGATAAATTGACTTCTACTTGCATTATAATTTTCAGATTTTAAGTTAGTGTACTTTTCATACAACAAATTTTTAGTAACATTGTGAGATTAAATTTTTCAAGCAGACAATACAAACTTAAGATTAACTTTGTCTCACAGTCCTTATCTGTGAAACAAAAAATACTACATCGAAATATTAAATAAGGTTTTGCAAATATTAATACTTCATATAGGAATTTATGAGAAGTGTAAGATCATTAGCCCACCCCACGAGCTATTAAGATTTCTGTCACAAATCTAATTTTGCCTTTAATTTGCTATATGAAACCACTAAAACTCTAGGTATCTCATTGAATATGGATCTTTCCTAAAATGAAAACATATGGAAAATATGATAGAATTTGAAAACTTACCAAGCGTAACAAAAAAACAGAAGAGACTATCAACAATAGTGTCCATTATAGTTTCCATTTCTGTGTCTGTTATGTCTGGTCGGTTAATGGCTAAAACAGTTTGGAAAAGAGTTAAGAATAAAGTTGAAGTTTATTCCACTTTAATGCTGAGAAAGCAGTATTTTTCTCAACTAATGGCTGTAATAGCCAATAGCTTTTGTTGCAGAAGAGGTCAAATTGTGAAATGCCCCTCTTATAGCACATCCATTAGTTTTTTCTCCCTCACTTGTTTTATTTTTTTGAGAAAAAACATGGGAGAACTTAATTATTGCTCACTGTATAAGGTCAAAGACTACATAATCTTTTCTAATTATGTCTGACAATACATACTGTAACTAGTCTGCATTGTGTTAAGTACCAAATAATCTCCTAGAAAACCACATTAGGGAACAGAAACGGCCATCCACCTGGAAACCATTTTTCAGATACAAACTCCTCCAAAATTACTTGTGTAATCTAGAGAACTACAGTATGTAGTTGTCAATATTTAAAGATTCTAAATCCTGCCTCCTATAGGAGATTCCTTTTCTTTTTTCCCCTTTTTAAAAATAAATTTACTGCGAGTCTCTAGGTTAGAGACAATAGCCACATTCTAAAACATTTCACACTACAGATAGAAAGATTTCCCTCACATATTTAGGTTAGAACAAGAGACAAGTAGCAATATTTCTGTTAAATAATTAACACTGACAAGAATATAATAGTCAATACCTCTCAAGTCAAGCACTATCTCAGGACTCATGCCATAAATTCAATCCTTGTTTGTTTCAAAATTTTCTAACCTAACTACCTGTCATACTCCTTCAAAAACAAACTTTAAAGCTCTAAATGTTAGTAAGCCTTCCATCCCAAATTTATGCAAGGCCAGCCATAATCATTCTCTAACTTTATAGGTGCTTTTTTCCCGCAGCATTTGTTCTCTAAGAACTTTAGAGAGATGGATTACATTAGCAATTTCGATCAGCAATTATACTTAGTAAGTCAAACTTTTTGCTAGGCTGCTAAGATGACAACAGCAATAGAAGTGCACACCCTCAGGATTTTTTTTAATCTGAATATGAGCACCAAGACAGGCAGACTGTTCCCAGTATGCGTATTTTTCTGAAAAAGCTTTGACATTACCTGGGGCTCTCATTCTGAAGTAATCTCCAACTAATGGTCTCCCAGTTTACAGGGGGGAAATAATATTATTTTTATTCCCTTGCCTTTCTCAACTTTAAAGTTAAATTCCCTCCCTATTATTATGTTTAAGGTACTAATTTATGACGTTCTAGCAATCTGCATACTGTTGTCAGATGCAGGAAGCACAAAACTAGCACAAATCACAAAGCTCGACACTGCCAACAAACCGGGCAGTGAAGTGAAGACTCAGTGGTCTGTGTCCTTGAGGCCCTGGCAAGGAATGTGCAATGCAGTGAAGGCTGCATACCCCATTCTCCCACCTAGCTCATGGCAGTTTACTCCCTGCAGGTGTAAATAAGGAAGTTCTGTGCTAATTACAATGAATAATTGTGTGCCCACAGCCCCATCCCCACACTTTGAACATCAGTAACAAAAAAAGTATAAATATCGTTCCTTTTTGGACACAGTGTGGGACGAGAATTCGGCACGAAGTCATAGGGACTGACCACTGGGTTTTGTTCTCCTCACCCCCCCAGCAGGGATGCCTTTTGGGAAGATATGCTACCTTGGCTCCGCCGGGTGATTTTCCCGGGGAGATTATTATTG